CTCGTTTGCCACCTTATATTATAAAGAAAAAGTTTTCAGTCTAGTTTAGAGTTTTTTAGGTTAATGTAAATTTCCATATCTTAAATAATTTACTTATAGCAAATTGTATAAAATAAGTGAAAAGTGCCTTGTTACCTATTTTATAGTCTAGATACTTAATATTGTAAGATGTACAGTCAGCTTCATAAATGTATACAATTACTAATTTTATGATACGTGTATACGCTTTCAGCTTCAAAAATATGTGTACAAAAATATACGAATAAGTGTATATTTACATACATAATTTTCAAATCTGAATTCTTACTTATATTAAAATGCGAAATTTTAGATGGATGGATGAGTTTTAATTATAAGGTATCTCCAGAACTTAATTTTGTCGAAATTTGTCACATATGTAGGTATTTTGAAAGGACACAGGTCACTAATGGAGTTGAAGAGTGCAGCTAGTGTATTCATATTTATGAAGCTGACTGTACACATAAAAGCTTATGAGTTGGCACGTGGTTAATAAGATGACTCTTCTGTTTCACGTGCCAATTGATACTGTTTTGTATGAAAAGTTGCTAGGTAGATTTATTTATAATTTATTTAGTGGAAGTAAAATTATAACACAGATATAAATTTTATGTACTTATTGAAATTGTTAAGTTATTACAACCGTGGAAATAATTAAGGAATTACCAAATGAAAAAATACCATTAAAATGTAACAATAATGTAGATTTTTATTTTTTACTAGCTGTTGCTCGCGACATCGGCCGCGTGAAATTAAAAAATATAGCCTATGTTACTCGCAGATAAATTTCCTTTCTGACGGTGAAAGAATTTTTAAAATTGGCCCAGTTGTTTTTGAGTTATTTCAATACATACAACAATACAACTTTTTTTTATAATATTAGTATGGATGAAATGTTACCCGTTTTGCCCTTTTTGTTACATTTATATAAAAAGTTTGCCATTGAAAAAACTAGTGTTTCAAGTGTTATATTTTGTTTTTTTTTTTAATTATTTATAATGAAATAAATCTATTTTGTATATAAGGATAAATTTCTTAAGACGTAAGAGCGGGCGCACAACTAAACTATCGCACGACGGTTGTGCGATAGTTTAGTCAAATGTGTGCGTGCTCTAAAATAACTTGTTAACCATGTTGTCTCGACACACAGATATTATTTTTAGTATTTTATCATGTTTTATAATAAAAATATAAAAAAATAATACATTTTTTATTCAATCCTTTGTTCTAATTTTAAACCTTTTTCTTCACGATCTAATTAAATACTTTATCACAGAAATCTTACTAATATTATAAATGCGAATGTTTAGATGGATGGATGTTTGTAAGAGTTTGTAGCCTAAACTGCTGAACGGATCTTAATGAAATTTGGCACAGATGTAGAGGATAATCTGGAAGGACACATAGGCTACTTACTATTTTTTTTTAATTCTACGCGGTGTCGTCATCGAAAGCTAAATAAACAGTAGTTATTTTCAATACGCGGCGGATATATTTAGTTGACACATTAGATGTACCAGCACTCCTTTACCCGACGAGCCAACTCAAGCCAAGAAATAAAAAAAATGATAGTACAGTCTACTGTCATTTTTTTTATTTCTTTTTTTCCATACTATGTTCTACATGTGTCTATATAACGTGATTCTTTAAACTGTATGGAGATATTTACTTTCGAACTTCCATCCATCCAACATACTCGTATAATATTATTATGATTTGTAATTTTGTCTGTTCTTTTAAACTATGAACCTTATTTTTTTTGTATTTCTAATTATAAAATTCTTAGAAAAACGTCTATGGGACAAAATGTCTACATTTCTCAGTAGCGTCCTTGGCTAAATTACTTGGCAATTTGCCAATGATTTATTTGAAGATTTGGTAAGAAAAATATGTTTTGCGAGTTTTGTATAAACAAGAAATACAAAACTGATAGAATACGAGAATAGGCGGAAATACACATGCCAGTAAAATTTAGTAGCACAGTACATGCCAGCGACTGGCTCAAACTCAATGCGTTCCCACATGGCAGCTATTTACATATGTAGTCCCGGCCATAGAGTAGTTAAGGTAGACTGGCGGTAAAATATAAGAACACTTGTTATCTTCTTTACTCTATGAGAATAGAGGAGATAGTACTATTGTTTTTACATATATTATGATATGACGCAAAAACTGTTTGCAAACTTTTTTAAATCGTCTCGCCGACTTCAATCAACGCTCACACACAAGTAGGACATTACCAGCTATTGATAGACATTTCCTGTTCGTTTCTGTTCGAAAATATCTAGAACTAGCTTTGACCGCGAATCCGTACACGTGTAGTTAAAAAAAGTAGGCTATGGGTTCTTTCAGACTATGCTCTACATCTGTGCTAAATATCGAGATTCATACAGCAGTTTTCTCTCTAACGAACATCCATCCATCCATCGATTTTATAATATAAGATGGCAAACGAGCAAGCGACCACCTGAATCCACTGAAATAAAAGGTGAACGCTGCCCATAAACAACCGCAATTGCAGATGCGATGCATCTGCAATTGCCGTAGTTGCCCTTAATTGACGAAGGAGGACGCGCACATAAAAAGGACATTTCCCCTACCTATGCGTCTCCTTCTCCGTCGAATCCAATTACCTTCCCATCCTTTCATCTTAAGAAAAGGGTGGAAAGGGACTAAAATTAGGCCTCCGGCACCACACTCATCAGACGAAACGCGGAATTGGTCCCACTTCACGCCTGTTTTCTGTGTGGTCGTGGTATTGCACCGGGCGAGCCGGCTAATTCGTGCGAAGATGTTAAAGCGGGCTCTGCCACGATTATTTTATCATTTTACATCTGTCATTTTATCGTAATGTACAGTCGGGGAATCTGGCAGTGTTCAAACTACAAGCTACAGACGTATGAACATTTTGTACGCATTCAGATAACGCCTAACAATATCCAATAAGTTTTTAAATGTGACTGTTCGAAAAAAGTGGCAGACGACTTGCTTTTGTTTATTATCCCATCGTTTATACAACTCACTGTTACTTAATTGTTTTTTGTAGAAGGAGGCAAAGTTTGTCTCGTTGCAAGAACCAAGGCAATCTTTTTAAAACTGGAACAACGCGAATTTCGGCGACTGTACCTTCTTAAGTGATCAATATAATTTGAACCTACCTTAACTGGTGACAAATGTATAAAACATACTTAATATGCTTAAGATTTACATATGTTTTGCGTAATTTATATTAAAACAACTTTTCTATTCCAAAATCACGTTTTTTAATTTTCCATTACATTTTAATGCAGAATGTTTATTGAAAACGAGTTTGCGCCTACTGGTACTTTACTTCCGTAAACATTTATTTATTAAATTATTCAAATACTTGTTTGCGTCCGCGACTCCGTCTATGTTCAAGCCTTTATGTTCTTCCAGACTATCAACTACTATACCGTTCAGCCGTTTAGATTACAAACTCTACAAACATCTATCCAAACTTTGGCATTTATTACGTTAATACGATTAGTTAATGACCAATAAATATTTTACTTTTTAAAGGCTCCTACATAAATAATTGTTTTTGTATCTAGAAATTTTGCTATTTGCGCTCTTAAATGTTTTAAAAACTTGGTGAAATTAAATCCATTTAATTGAAAAATAAATAAGACTAACTGTTCCCTTGCGACTTCGTCCGAATTAAATTATGAAAATTTTATTTCATTGTCAAAATGACATGACATGATCACAAACCATGGCAACATCGCTTCCTTGATGTTGGCAGCAACTAATGATCTCTTTCCCACATTAGGGTTTTTATCCAAAATGTTTACCCCCCAAGTTCAATAGTGTTAAAAAAAACGTGACGTATGTAGGGCTTTTTATTCAGAAAAAAAATTTTAAAAAACAATCTGTAAAAAAGTTTACGCTTTATTATAATAGTATAGATAAGATTTGATTATTTGTTATTCTGTTAATAGTGTATTATTTATCTCTTTATATGTATATACATTATATATTAATTTATTTAAAGAGAATCGCTCCATTGTAGAATTTCGTCTGTTATCATTATTTAAGATAAACTCTGGTGTTAAGATATGATAAGACAAAAACACTTAAAAGATCACCGATCCCAACGAAAACATAAACCTAAAGTATTTCATAATAAAATCTAATTTTCGGTTACATAGATAATTGAAAAACTTCTGTTAGAAGTAACTGAATCTGTACAAACATCTGTACACATAAACACGTATCTATACTATTATAATAAAGCGTAATCACACACTTCTTTGTTGCCTAACATGTCAGCTATCACAGCATATTTTTGAATAATTCTTCTTTTAATAAAAAGCCCTACACTTACTTCACGCTTTAGGCTATATATTTTCACGCCATTAAACTTAGGAGCTAAATATTTTGGATAAAAACCCTAATGTGGGAAAGAGACCATAAATTGCTGCCAACATCAAGGAAGCAAGATTGCCATAGTAAGGTAATTGGTATTTTAACATTTGCAATTAATAATTTGACAAATGGAAACGATAAAATAATATTTTTATAATTCTGTGCGGATGAAGCTGCACGGGAACAGCTAGTTAAATACTAAAATTAAATAAACTTCTGCATTTTCAGATAAAAAATACCGCGAAACGTGCGTATTTTTAGGTTAAATTCCAAAAGTGAAGCTTTCTTTGGAAGCTTTTTTCCGGGATAAGTTTTAGGTTTATTATGAACTGGCTTTCGCCCGCGACTCCTACCGCGTGGTATTCAAATAAAACAAAACCAAGTAGCCTATGTGTTCTTTCAGACTATCCCCTACATCTACGCCAAATTTCATTGAGATCCGTTCAGCAGTGTAGGCTACAAACCAACAACCATCCATCTAAACTTTCACATTTATAATATTAGTATGAAGTATGATAAAGAAACTTTGAATAATAATGTACCATATACGAAGCAGCTAAATAAATGATCGTATTTATCTTAAAAGAAACGAAATACATTTCGTAGTGCGCATTACAGTTTAGTCGTCTGTGTCCAAAATACATCTTGAGACAATGGTTCTCAAAGTGTCTATATCATATGATAATTTATATTTTAACGCAGTTAGATTTATTTAAATTACAGACGTTTATTTGTTTTAATTGGTATAAGGAAAATAAATTCCTAATATATATTTATTAAAAGTAGTTTTTGACAAAAAATTCAAACTTTAATGCACAGTGGGCAAAGATTATGGAATTTTAGTCCTTGCAAGTGCTCTCTCCTAAGCTAGATTCTTAGATTGTATACTCAGTTCCCGGTGCTTGTAATATTGCCTTTGCTCAGCATTTCTACAAGGAATCTATTTATCCATCTAAGGGAGGGAGGTCAATCAAGGGGGGATAATAGTACAGACATTTTTATATCATTCCGAAGAGAAATCTTTAATGCATAACAATTTTTATTTATTCACAACAGTCTATAGGGATTTTCTTTATCTTTCTTACAAATATTATAAAGAGGAATTTGGATTTTTGTATGTATGGAAATCACTCTAAAACTACTGAGTCGACTTCAAAATGTTTTTCGCTGTTAAAAAGCTCCGTTATTAATAACATAGGCTGTTTTTTAGAATTATTTTTTTAATTTTACGAGAAGTCGCGACCAACAGTTATTTTACTACTAACACCTCCTGGCGATGTTAATGTTAGAGGCAATTGTTGTTGACGATAGTTTGGGAAGCTCTGTCGCAGACATGTGTTGACAGCAGCGTGTACACTCTACATCCAATTGATTACTTATCAAAGTCGACACAATGATGTCCAGAGCCCAGTACTGCCGGCACATTCGACAACGACGGACGTGTGTTGCCCTTACACGGAATATCGTATTTACTACACATAAAGTTATATTCTTATTGACTGTAAAATCCGATTGTTAAATTATTTGCATATGTGTATAGTGTTTTGTTTATTTATTAAAAGTGTTATTTGAGTGACAAAAAAAAACTTTTTTTCTGTTTATAATATTCCCAACATCGATTTAAAGTAAGTGTTTTTACACAGGTGTCTATTACCAAATAATTCAAGTTCATTCAGATTTTTGTATTTATAACATGCGTTTGTTAGACGATAAAGGTGCTAATCCCTTGCAGTTTGTTATCAGCTATTGATAGTAGCCAAAACAAACTTATAATAGTGATAAATACTAAGAAATCACGTTATTACGAATGTGTAGGAACTATTTAATAACTTTTTATAGACTTTTAATTATTTTAGATTATTTCTATGGTGTTACACAATATTACACAACTAAAGTTTGTCTCTTCGAGTAAATATAAATGACTAGCTTTCGCCCGCGACTCTGTCCGCGTGGAATTGAAAAAGAAAAGAAAGTGAGTAGCCTATGTGTTCTTCCAGACTATCCTCTACGTCTATGCCAAATTTCATAGAGATCCGTTCAGCCGTTTAGGCTACAAACTCTAACAAACATTCACCCATCTAAACTTTCGCATTTATAATATTAGTAAGATTAGCTTACTAATTGATTGATTGAGATTAGCTAACTCATTTGCGATATATCTTAATATATCGCAAATGAGTAAATATAAATAACAATCGACAATCGGACAACAGTTGTGCGATTGTCGATTGTTTCGCAGCCAATTCAACTGTTTAGTTGCAGAACTAAACATCGAGTAGTGTACTTCCATATAAGCTCATAGGAATCAAAACCAGACTAAACAGTTGTGCGATAGTTCAGGTGTGAGCACTCTTAATACAAAGAAAAGGGCCTCAATTCAATGAGTGATATAATTTCATTCAAATCTATTTGAATAAATATGTAAATGTATGCAAAATTATTCAGTACAGAAAATGTTTACTAGTTTAAAAGTACAACTGTGCAAAGATTATAATAATCTTTTATATTAACACGAGCTGTTGCCCGCGACTTCGTCCGCGTGGTATTCGAAAACATAAAAGCTACGTATCCCTCGGGAACCGGACATTTCTCGGGGATGAAATTTATCCCATGTGTACTCCAGACTTTGTTTTACATCTGTGCAAAATTTTAATAAGATATGTTGAACCGTTGCAGAATGATCGAGTAAACATTAAAAAACCAAATTAATGAATCCCACGGGAACCGTAACTATTCCCGGGATAAAAAGTAGTCTATGTGTGCTTCCCGAATTTGCTCTAAATCTGTGCCAAATCTCATGGAGATCCGTTCAGCCGTTTGAGCTACAAACGCTAACAAACATCCATCCATCCATCCATCTAAACTTTCGCATTTATAATATTAGTAAGATTATTTATTACAAAACTAGCTGTTCCCGTGCGGGTTCATCCGCATGAAATTGTGAAAATTTTATTTTATTGTTCACATTTGTCAAATTATCAATAGCAAATGTCAAACTGACATGACATGACAAACCTTGACAATCTCGCTTCTTTGATGTTGGCATCAACTTATGGTCTCTTTCCCACATTAGGGATCTTATCCAAGATATTTAAGTTTAATGGCGTGAAATATATAGCCTAAAACGTGACGTAAGTGTATGGCTTTTTCCTAAAAAAAAATATTCAAAAATATGCTGTAATTGCTGACATTTTAGGCATCAAAGAAGTGTGTGTTTACGCTTTATTATAATAGTATAGATAGATAAGCTACTAATTTTCAATTTAATAGTCTACGAGACAAGAAGTAACAACGCAATTTAATAAATAAAATTTTACAAAGCTTATATCACTTGCAAAGAACCCGGAATCAAAACTTAAAACCTTGAAGTAGGCATATTTAAAATTAGATAATATACTGAAGTTGCAATAACGTCTAATACTTATCTTAAGTTACTTGCTTAGATGTCTCGAGAGTTTAACGTTGTGTTTCCATCGCAAACACACCCACAACGTGTTTCGTCCGTTTTAAACATAATTAGGCCACAATTAAGATGTTTTTATTAATTTTAGCAAATAATAGTTTGTGTTATCCGCCATATGGTGCCTTTCTGTTAATTGGACGAAAATATGATTGGACTTACCTCTATCCAAAGTGGGTTCGTTTGGACGCTAGAAGGCTTTAAAGAAATTACATTTGTTAAAATATCTAAAATCGTTTTATAGATTTTATTCATATTGAAATTATGATTTCTGTTTGTTAAGCTACACCTTTTTGAAGTACCAACATTATGAACTCATCAGGGGGCTACAAAAATCGAAGATCACAACTATTTTCAGACGATACATAAAGGCATATAGTACTGGTACATATATACAAACTTGTAATTTAGATTTTTTCCGTTGACATAACAAATAGGCTATTATAAAGAAGGCAATAATAGGTAAAAAAACGCTTAAACGTATGTTAATGTCAAGGATGTGCTTATCTCGATGTTGACTGTACATGTCTACGCGTGCTAACTAAATAGGCGTTTGGCAATTTTTGCCGATAACTTGATAAATGAGTCACTAATGATTTAATTGTGGCACGTGGTGGCAAGGTCAGACCTTTGTTATGGATTTCAATTCCGCTTACAACGACTTTTGAGAGTAACCCCAGAGATAGAGAAGGTATAAAGTAAAAGGTTAGAATGGACATGTTATGAGGAGGGATGAATCGTATGTTACAAGGAGAACGTTAGTTATAAGTGTGGATACACCGGTAGCGGTAGACCTAGAAAGAGATGAATGTATTGCGTGAAAGGTGACAAAATAAAGAAGAGAGTAATGACTGAGATGACGTATGGTAGAGTTACGGAGGACAAAAACCTGTTGCGCACTACGGGAGTAGGATAGGAAGGAAGATGATGATCATAGGCTTTTAAGCCTCTAATAACACACCTTTAACTAAACTATCGCATAACTGTTGTGTGATTTTCCATTGTTTCGCAGCCTTCAACTGTTTAGTTGCACAACTAAAAATCATAGTGTACGCACCATAAACTCATAGTAATCACAGCACGACTAGTACTGCGATAGTTTAGTCAAACATGTGGGCACGCTCCAAACTAAGATCCATGTCATAATCGACACAAGAGATTTTTTGTCATGTTCTTGTCAACACTGTTTTATACATTCATATTCCTTTAGGCGATGTAAGTATATGGTAACATGGTCCATACATCCATCCATTTATAATAGTATAGTTTCTAGCTTTGGTTTAAAACAATCTTTGTTAATTTCTTTTACAAAAATGTTACAATAATGCAGTTTAACTTATTATAACTTTCGTGAGACATTATACTTTAATTTATAACTCGACTAAAACTCACGTGGGATCTTTCGGTGTAGGCACCGACCAGTTTCAAACCCGTAAGTGGTCCTTCTCCAGGGTGAGTGGTTGCCGGCTTTATCCGCTATCGCGTCGCGACGGTCACTTTTCAGTTTGTATAAAAAATTAATCCCTTGATCGCAGTACAAAGTCATCGTCAGAACATCGACAAAAAAACCTTCAATTAATGTTTTCAGGAAAATACACATGCAATTTGATACAGGTTATAAATTTTTATAACATTGTACATGCTAATTGTACATATTTGTCTGGATACAGACCATTTAAAGTTAATCCGCTTAATATTAAAACAAATCTTGATAAACAAAGAATTTAATTTGATTGATGGTAAAAAATGTTTACGAGTTACATTTTTTGAGCTCTCTGTTGTAACTTAATCTATGAAAATAAGGTAATATTAAAAAATCTTTTACTGGAATAAAAAATATATATAATTATCATACTTCATACTAATATTATAAATGCGAAAGTTTAGATGGATGGATGTTTGTTTCAGTTTATAGTTTAAACAGCTGAACAGATTTGGATGAAATTTGGCATAGATTTAAAGGATAGTCTAGAAGAACACATAGGATACTTACTTTTGTTTTATTTTTAATGCCACGCGGACAGAGTCGCGAGAGAAAGCTAGTATGTTATAATTAAAAGTCCATTAAAGCATTACTTTAGTGACGTATCTGTACATCTGTCTTGATTCATTTCTTTTTATAATTGGAATTTAATTATAAAACAAGTCTGTGTATTTTAACATGTACACTTTTGTAACTGTAAAAGCTTCGTATGCATGCGAATTTCGAAACTTTTATCTCAACTTATGCGGATTTAAAATGAGTTACAATCTTACTAATATTATAAATGCGAAAGTTTAGATGGATGGATATTTGTTAGAGTTTGTAGTCTAAACTGCTGAACGGATCTGGGTGTAATTTTGCATAGATGTAGAGCATAGTTTGGAAGAACACATAGGTTACCTACTTTTGTTTTTTTTTTATTTCACGCGGACATAATCGCGGGCGAAAGCTAGTTTAAATATAGGACTGAAGTTGCTTGCTTGCTTGCTTGCTATTTTGATGTAACGAAAAAAATAATGTAAAGTACGTTTTTACAAACGTTTAAGTTTAAAATTGTAATAAATTATACTAAGGGCCTTTCCCACCACTGGCTGATAAATGTTCAGATAGCTTAAAAATAATGTCACTGTCAGATAAATTAACAAAATCCGATATTTCCATCACATATTTTACACGTTGGATTGTATCAGACAATTTACAATTTGGTAGGACAGGCCCTAAGAATATTAACATTTCTACTATAACTGAGTTGCCTAGTTACAATAACATTGTGTAACAATCAGATAGCGGTTGTAAAAATTGCGACAATACCAGTCTAATATTATCTTATCGTTTTGCTAATCGTATATAGTAATTCGCATATGAAATACTAGCTTTCGCTCGTGACTCCATCCGTATTAAAAAAAAACAAAAGTGAGTAGCCTACGTGTTCTTCCAAATTTCATCAACATTTTTCAGTAGTTTAGGCTACAAACTCTAACAAACATCCATCTAAACTTTCGCATTTATAATATTAGTAAGATTAGTAACCTGTAGCCTGTAGCATAATATTTATAGGTTTTAACTAAACATTAAGACCATCGGTGGCTCAGTGGTTTGAACACTTAACTTGTAATCTACAGGTCTTGGGTTAGAATCCCACCATGTACCAATGTGATTTTCGATTTTTCAAATTTTCATAT